ACCCCCTGTTACGCACAGAGCAGGGCCCATCAGGGGGTTGGGGAGCTCCCCCCTGTCACGCACAGAGCAGGGCCCATCAGGGGGTTGGGGAGCTCCCCCCTGTCACCCACAGAGCAGGGCCGATCAGGGGGTTGGGGCGCCGCCACTGACACACTCAGGGCAGGGCCGATGGGGAGGTTATGGCTCTACCCCGTCACACACAGAGCAGGGCCTGTGGGGGGGGGGGGGGGCTTGGGGCGCCCCACCCTGTCACACACAGAGCCGCAGGGCGATCAGGGGGTTGGGGAGCTCCCCCCTATCAGGCACAGAGCAAGGCTGATCAGGGGGTTGGGGCACCTTCCCCTGTCACGAACAGAGCAGGGCGGATAGTGAGGTTGTGGCCCCACCCCCTGTCACATACAGAGCTGCAGGGCGATCAGGGGGTTTGGGCACTGCCCCCTGTCACGCTGATCCCGGTGCCGGGAGGCATATTACCCTTTTACTATATAGAATAGAGGCCTGGTGCACGGGTGGGGGCAGGCTGGTTTGCCCTGAAGGGTGTCCTGGATCAGGGTGGGGGTCCCCACTAGGGTGCCTGGCCAGTCTGGCTGGGGGCTGAGGGCTGTTTTCAGGCTGGCAGGTGACTGAAGCTCCCAACCACTCCTTTTTTTCTTTTTTCTTTTTTTATTCTGGGCCAGCTTTAGCTCTGAGGCCTCTGCTGCTTTGTTTACCTTCTGTATTTGATACAATGTTGCGGTCCGGCTGGCTGAAGCCCGGCTGACTAACGCAGTTTTCTGGGGTTTTGTTTAGCTTCTATATTTGCAACATAGTTGCTTAGAGTTGCAGCTGAGAGGCCGGCAAGGCAGGCGGGGGAACGTTGGAGTCCGCCGTCACTGGAGCAAGCAAGCCTCCCTGTTCGCTTCAGTGCATGGCTGCCGGCCACCATCTTGGCTGGCAGTTAATTTGCATATCGCCCTGATTAGCCAATGGGAAGGGTAGCAGCCGTACGGCTAATTACCATGTTTCTCTTTTATTAGATAGGATATATATATATATATATATATATATATATATATATATATATATAATTGATTTCAGAGAGGAAGGGAGAGGGGGAGCGAGAGATAGAACCATCAATGATGAGAGAGAATAATTGCTCTGCTGTCTTCTGCATGCCCCCCACTGGGGATCAAGCTCACAATCTGAGCATGTGCCCTGACCAGGAATGGAAATGCGATGTCTTGGTTCATAGGTTGATGCTCAACCATTCAACCATGCCAGCCAGGCTAAGCTTTTTCTTAAATAAAGCAAATATTTAATCTACAGTCCATCAAATACAGTTGACCCTTAAACAACACAAATTTGAACTGCATGGGTCCACTTGCATGCAGATTTTTTCAATAAATATATTGGAAATTTTTTTGGAGATTTTCTTAATACCATGAAGCAATCATATCAATTATGTGAGGCTACCACAAAGCAATCATATTGCTGCTTCTTCATTATCACTGCATGAATTTGATGAATATCAATTCACTGCTCAATTTGAATTGATTTTTGTTCAAATAAGCTCTTAAAATGCCTCTATTTTTTATCAAGGGGCTTGGTGTCTGCAACTAATTGTCAAGTGGCTTAGAAAAAAAGAGTGTGGGGAAAGTATAAACAATCAATGAATGTGGATAGTGCTATGTGAAGTTCCTTGGATATATATATGTTCCTTGTACTGAAGCTTGCAATGTTTTTGTAAGTTTAAAATTTTAACCTAGTAAAAAGTTTTATATATATATATGGCTAATATACAAAGCGTCCCCTGGGGAGTTTGATCGCTCGCTATGACGTTCGCTGACCACCAGATGGGGGCGCAGAACAAAGGAAGGCCCCAGCCAGCAGCCAGAAGGCCCTGATGGGCCTTGATCACCAGCTAGGCCTAATATATTCATAATTCTTCACCCCTTTTGACCTCGTGGGTTCCTCCTTCAGCGACCCTAACATTACCCTTGAGACAGCATGGATGGACCTGGAGGGTATTATGCTAAGTGAAATTAGCCAGTCAGAGAAAGACAAGTATGAAATGATCTCACTCATATGTGGTATCTAATGACAAAATAAACTGATGAACAAAGTAGCTTCAGAGTCATAGAAGCATGGAACAGACTGATGAATCTCAGAGGAAATGGGGAGAAGGGGCAGGAAGAGATTAACCAAAGAATTTATATGCATATATGCATAACCCATGGACACAGACAATAGTGCGGTGAAGGCCTGGGGGTGGGGGAGGGGTGGAGGGGCTCAATGGGGAAAAAGGGGGATACTTCTAATACTTTCAACAATAAAGATAAGTTTTAAAACAAAAAAAAAACCTAGAAATTGGGCCAAGGTGTCTTTCTCAAGAGCCCACATTCTATTCTCTAATCCATCTGCTTCTGAGACAGTGTAGTTCAGAGACCTATAGATATTTTATAGAGTATTTCAATTACATTGTCAACACAGCCCTGCAATATTGGTGTTATCATCCTCACTTTTACATACAAAGAAAATAGACGGAGAACTAACATGATTTGTTCAAATTCACAAAAGCTAGAAAGTCATGGAGGCAAAATGTCAACACAGTCTGTCCCTTTTACCCATCAAGATAGCAAAATAGATTATATTTTGAAGAATTGGGTATAATCAAGAAAATAATAAACCCCCAAGATAATATTAAATGATCTCATGAGAACTTTAACAAAATAGCCCTCAAGGCAAAAGATGGCTTTTTAATGGTTCTAAACATTGTCAGAAAACTTTTTTTTTCTTTCATTTTAATTTAAAAATGTATGCACACTCACACACTAGGTCTCTGGCCTTTTCTTACCCCAGTTTATTGTTTGTGTTCTCTCTCTTTCCTCCATCCCTCTCTCTGTCTCTTCTTTCTATGTCCCCCCACCCCCACCCCCTTCCCCTTTCTTCCTTTCTCCCCTCGTATAAAAAGGTCACAAAGTTTCCTGCTGCCCCCTAGTGGTTTCATCCTGGAAATGGCAGCCACGTTAGGAAACAAAATCTTTAGACAATAATAAAATGACACTTTAAATCCTTCAGAGTTTTTGAAGACAGTGGGCCACAGGGGTGAGAGGAAAGGGCCCGTTATCAGTGATAAGTTCTTTAACCTTGCAGGGCCTCAACAAATGCACTGGTGAAGTGAAAGTTAAAACATTTCCTTTTCACAGTTGCCTGTACGCTGAGATAACACAGTAAACAGTCGTGAAGCACAATACACTCTTAATAATAGGTCATTATTATTTACTTTTAACAACTCTATAAAGTTGAGTAAACTGAGGCTCAGCACAGCTTACTGATTTTTTTAACTTAACTCAGCCAGCGAACTATAGAACTAGACCCATAATCCAAGTTTTTCTACTCTAATTCTAATTCTCTTCATACCTCAGTATCTCAAAGTGACAGTTGATAAGGAGAAATGTTAAGAATTTTTAAAGTCTTAAAGGGATATTTTCATACACTTTTGTGTTTTCCATTAAGTCCAAAAAATATACATTTCATTGGTCAGTGATCCATCTTTAGAATGTCTTAAAATTGCAAGAAGCACAAAAAGATTTGTGTCCAAAACATGTTCGCAAATCATTACTTATCATAGTACTAAGTTGAAATAAACTTTGGTAAAAAATAATAATTGTTTGTATTTATTGAACAGATGCTGTTTTAAGGGTTATAAATACATCAAAGCATTTAATGAGGTAGGTAGTATTATTATCTCCACTTAGCATATGAGGAACCTGAGGAACAGTGAGGCTAAGGGCCTTGACCACGGTCAAACATTAAGGAGTAGTAGAGCCCGGAATTGAACTGAGATATTTCTCAAGAGTCCATGTTCTACTCACTAATCAATGGACCCACCCCCATATTCGATTGCATGGTAGCGCTTATGGTGGAATATTGTGCAACCATAAAAATTAGGTTTTCAATAAGTATTAAATTATATGTATATACATTAAAATACTAAGGGAAAAAACAGTATGCAAAATTGCATACCATATTATATCAGTCGTAGAGTCGTAGAGTGTGTGTGTGTGTGTGTGTGTGTGTGTGTGTGTGTGTAAAACCAAATCTAAATAATACCTTTCTCCAGGCTATGGGTTATGACTAATTCTGTTTTCTAGATAGCCTGAACTTGTGTAATGAGACAGAACTACTGTGATCATCAAAACATTTAGATTAAAAAATATTTAGGGTGGCTCTGCCAGGGTAGTTCAGTTGGTTAGAGGGTCCCAATACACCAAGGTTGCAGGTTCGATCCTGGTCAGGGCACATACAAGAATCAACCCATGAATGCATAAATAAGTGGAACAACAAACCTATGTTCTTCTCTCTCTCTCTCCCTCTCTCTCTAAAATCAATCAATAAATAAATTAAAGGTGCTTTAAGAAATACCAGAATTTCCAAGAACAGAATTCAGTTTCCCTTTGCAGTAAAATAATGAATCAGGGAGTGTGAATGGAAAAGATTCCCACAAAAAAAACAAAGATTGGGAATAGAGGAAGGATGTTCAAACCGAAAGGGAAATGAGTAGGAGAGACTGTTTATTGGAATACCACTGCTGGGTTAACTTAGCACTGGAGCCTGCTTTTGATTGGTGTCGGCTGTTCAGAGGCTGTCTTCTGACAGTCGTCAGGATTCACTACAGACTGAAGTAGTATGGATGGGGGGTCTGATGCCTTCCCTGATAAGAAGACCTATGACCCCAACAAGTATAATTTCTGATTTGGAGAGTTCAAAGTTGCCGTGGAAAAACAGCAAAGACAGCCCTCTTTGGGACAGTAACCCTAAAAGGTTCGCTGCTTTCTGACAGCCCCCTCTGGGCAGGGCCTATCAGCAGCACCAGATGGGGCCCATCTTGAGGTGGCATCTTCCCAACCACCTGCACGAGCCAATCATATCACTCCCAGTGAAAGCCCGCGGCTCAGGATCATAACACTTGGCCCCAAACACTGTACGGTGTGTGCCTTCTGCCTCACTAGCAAGTTGAGGTTGAGCTGCAGAGCCTGACCTTCAACATTCCTTTCGAATTCCTCTGCATACAGTTCAGACAAGGGTTGGTTTTGGGGTTGCTCTTGTGGGGTTTTATTTCCCATCGGAAACTCCCAATTTCTTTAGAACTCCGTGTTTAGTCAGATATTTCAGTTTTGCAACACAAAGTTGGAGTTGATCTCTTCCCTCATAAAAACTGCTAGTTGGTAGTGGTCAACAGAAGTCTTGACATAAACATTAGCAAGGAAGGTTCTTGCTGAGACTCGCATAGAAAAGCCCAAAGGAAAAATTGGGAGAACTCGTTTCAGAATGAAGCTACAAGATGGAAGAAGTACATTTAACTCAAACAAATGCTGTCCCTTGACCAACAGACACAGGAAGATTTTACTCCCAATAACTACAGCTCCTGCGACAGGAATCTGGCTCCTCCGAGCACAACTTCCTCTCCTGCTGCTGTTTGCTGGCCTGCAGAGACCCACGGTGAGTTCCCAGGTCGGGCACAATTGAGGAGGTGGTCTCTGTCTGATTAATGCTCCAATAGAGCGTTCTCTTGGTGACCTCTCAATGACCTTTAGGCACTGTGGGATCTGGTTTCATTCAGACACGGTAAGTTTTGCTGGCGAAGAGTGTGGAAAACAATTATTTGAAATTGTGAAATTCTTTAGTTTATAAACCTGACATGGATGCTAGAGGTATGGCATTATTTTCTGGCTTGTCCACAAAACTTAAGTAAAACTGCTTCTGTAGGACAAATAATGCAAAATTAACCAAGTCTATGTGGCTTTTGACTGTATCATATGGATCAACTCAAAAGAAGTATTATAATTTAAACTTCCACCTAAGGAAAAAAAACCTAATATTAAAAAATAACAGACTACATATTTGACATCTAGTAATATAATAAAGTTTTAGAGTTTACCATAACAAGGACTTGACAAAATGTGATATTATTGATTTGTTATTGTTGTTTTGGCTTAAATAGATTCTCTAGATTTCCTTGTAAAGTTGCTATACAGAGTTATTGTTTGAAATTATTTAAGCAGTCTTAAAATTTTTTTCTAATTTATAACAACTAGATGAATTAACATACATAACAGTAAAAATACCAAATGGTATGTTATTTTTAGTTTCAGCCACAAATCTTTGATATTGACTGGATGGAATTATATCTCTTAATATATTCCTTAATGAATACAGTTCATTAGAAAAGCATCATTCCTTTGTCAAGCAGGAAAGATCTTGGGATTTAGACCATTGAAATATGGCTCTACGTGATGGGCTAATGGCACTTAGTGAAGTTGTATTCAAACTATAATCTTAGTTTAATATGCACTAGGTATCAATAAGTAATATTCAATTGGTTCCCCATTAGAAAATGTGTTTTTCCCACTCCCGATTTCCAATAGGAGTGACTTTCCTAGGCACACTCCCAACCACTGTCCACTCTTTCCTCACTCCACTACGGGAGGTGGGAAAATTTACTTGATTGGTAATATAAGGAAGGAAAATTGGGTATGCTGAGTTTGACTCTGCTTGTCTTCCTCCGGGGAGCTAGCCTGATGGCAAAGGCCAAGAGCTCTGTGTTTCTCCGTGAAAGGAATCATACCCGGGTAGGCTGCAATCCAGCACTACCTACAGCTGAGTGGGCAAGTCTGCCTCATTCTGGGGTTCATTTCGAACAAGTCCACTTGCCATCAGATCTAAAGATGTGAGCCCCAACATGACATGATTCATAAATGAAAATGATATTTTAGCCTTTCAGATTTGCTCTCTTTTTTTCTCAATTTTTTTCAGAGCCTGAATAGGGGAGAGGGCTGTTATTACTGGGAATCCCCTGGAGGACCCAACTTTATTCATCACTTAAGTCTTTTATTAAATAAACTTCAAAGGCTTAATATAGCTTTTAGGTATTTATAAGAAGAGAGAGTTCTTAAAACACCCACGAAGAAATGTGAAGGGAGTCAGTAGATGAAATAGAAAGTAAAACTAAACTTTAAGGTTATTAATTGTTTTCTTCAACATACCCAATGTGCAAAAATAAAAAATACCATGATTTTGGTGAAACAAAGAAGATCACTTCCTCTGTGGGGAGATGCGCATTTTCGAACTTTCAGTGATATGTATCGAAACAAATTCAATCTCTAACACAGGTCACTGACACAGGAAGGACTGGAGCAGTGTAATGATTATAAGTGAAACTTCAGCAAATACTGGTTTTGAGAAGACGGTCTTATAGAGTACAGAAAATCTGCTATCAGATTCATCATCTGATTGGAAAAATTATAATCAAGATTTTTCTTTTCTTATAGGCTGCAATTAAAATCAACTTTGACTTGGCACCAGATTCCTTTGACGATCAATACCAAGGCTGCAGCCAACAGGTCATGAAGGAGCTAAGTCAAGGGGATTATGTCGCAAAAGAAGTAGAAGCCCAGACAAATTATTACAAGATCTGGAATAATGCCCATTTAACCTGGCTGAACCGACCTAAAGCTCTCCCTAAGAACATGACGATCACACATGCTGTGGCCATCTTGGTGTACACATTGAACAACAATGTTCGCTCTGACTTCACTAGAGCCATGGCCAGCGCTGCCAGGTCTCCATGGCAGTATAAACATTCATTCCATTTCAAATACCTACATTACTACCTGACCTCAGCAATCCAGCTGCTGAGGAAAGGCCTTGTCATGAAGAATGACTCTCTGTGCTACCAGGTGCATCATGAGGCCGATTTCTACTTGAAAGCCTACATAGGTGCCACCCTTCGATTTGGCCAATTCCTGTCCACCTCCCTCCTAAGAAAAGAGGCACAGGAGTCTGGGAACCAAACTCTATTTACCATACTTACCTGCCTGGGCGCACCTGTACAAGACTTCTCTCTCAGGGAGGAGGTTCTGGTCCCTCCCTATGAGTTGTTTGAAGTTGTAAATATGAGCTACCATCCAAGAGGAAATTGGTTGCAATTGAGGTCAACTGGAAATCTGAGCACATATAACTGTCAGCTGCTAAAAGGTATTATTATTGATCTAAATTGAATTCACTCTTATCAGGATCACAGGCTATGATTCTTTTAAAGGCCAAGAACAGAGAAATCGGCCTTCTATAATGGTGGAACTGACAGATTAGAGGGGGGAAAAATGTCTGATTTATTGGTTTCTCCCCTCTTCTTTCTCCTTAACTACCGCTAGGAAAATATATTTCTGCAATGGCACTAAGATAGGGGGGCATTCTAGATGGGAGAGTAAACCTCTACTGGAAAAGATAGTTCATAAAATATAGCATCTTTTCCTTCTCCCTCAAACTCACTTTCTTGTTATGATCATTTCATAAATGAGGAGTGCTACAAGTAAAGCAGGAGGTATGACTCATTCATCCACTCTTATCTATTAAGTGTCTGCTATGTTCCAGGAACTGGCCTAGGGGGGCCCAGTCAATATAAAAGGAATAAAGCAGAACTACTCTGCTAGGAAGATTTTAAGTTCAATGAGAAATGAAAATATGAACAAATATCTACACGCAAAAGTACAAAGTTACACACCCAGTGTTTAAGCAATGGCTGTAGCTGCTCACTGTAGGAAGCTATCATTCTCTCTGGGGAACGTGAGGAAGACTTCATAGTAGAGGACCATGGGGAATGGGAGTTTTCAGTGAGAGAAGAAAGGGTCATTTTAAGCACAAAACAGTACATACTAAATCACAGAGATTTAAAACAGCCTAGTGACTTCAGGGAATCTCCAAAATTCTGGAAGGCTGCAATGTAGGATGTGCAGGACCTAGAAAAGGATTGGGAATAGAAAGAGAGTAGGAGAGTGAGTGGATCAGGAGAGTTCTGAGGGGGACCAACTATAAAAACTCGTGTATTCCATGCCCAGGACTTTTGAACTACATGCTGTATGTAGGTAATGAGAAGTCACTAGAAGTTTTTATGGAATGGAGGGAGCATCATTTAGATCAATACTTTAGCAAGAGCTCTGATGATATTGGGGAAAATGAAGTGAAGCAGGAGAAATTAGAGATACCATGATACCAAAAAAATATTAAGCTCTTTTTTAGAAAAACACATGGCTGATTCCATTTTATCTTTGTATGTTGCCAGCCATAGTCAATTCACAGAGTAATAGTTCTGTAGCAAACGCTGTGTCCTATTTGATTTAGGGGGAAGGGGAATGTTCTTATCCATATATGCAGTTGTTTACTATCTTTTTTTAAAAATGTGTCTTTATTGTTGAAAGTATTACAAATGTCCCCCTTTCTTCCCCAAGAAACCGGCCTTCAACCCAACCTTCACCCCATCCCCAGACTTACACCACACTAATTGTCTATTGTCCATGGGTTATGCATATATGCATGTAAGTTCTTTGGTGAATCTCTCCCCACTCCCCACCCACCCACCCCTGCACCCCTGTCTTCCCTCAGAGATTTATCAGTCTGTTCCATGTTTCCATGTCTCTGGATCTATTTCATTCATCAGTTTACTTTGTTCATTATATTCTACATAGGAGTGACATCCTGTGATACTTGTCTTTCTCTGACTAGCTTATTTCGCTTAGCATAATATTCTCCAAGTCCCTTCATGCTGTCTCAAAGGGCAAGAGTTCCTTCTTTTTACAGCTGCATAGTATTCCATAATGTAAATGTACCACAACTGTTTTCTCCACTCATCTACTGATGAGCATTTAGACTGTTTCCAGATCTTAACTACTATATATTGTACTGCTATGAACATAGGGGTGCATATATTCTTTCTGATGGGTGTTCCTGGATTCTTAAGATATATTCCCAGAAGTAGGATTGCTGGGTCAAAAGGCAGTTCCTTTTTTAATTTTTTGAGGAACTTCAATACTGTTTTTCACAGTGGCTGCACCAGTCTGCATTCCCACCAGCAGTGTACTAGGGTTCCCTTTACTCCACATCTTTGCCAGCACTTGTCATTTGTTGATTTGTTGATGGTAGCCATTCTGGAAGGTGTGAGGTGATACTTCATTGTCATTTTAATTTGCATCTCTCTGATGATTAATGATGTTGAGCAATTTTTCATATGTCTTTTGGCCATCTGTATGTCCACTTTGGAGAAGTGTCTATTTAGGTCCTTTGCCAGTTTCTTTTTTTTATTATTATTAAATTGGTTTCCTCCTTTGTTAAGTTGCACGAATTCTTTATATATTTTGGAAATTAAACCGCTTAACAGATGTATCATTGGCAAATATGTTCTCCCATA